TACCTAAGAAAGTTAACAATAATTATTTATTATTATTTAATACTTATTCTATATTCACATTTCTTAAAATTGTCCCTAAAATGTCCTTTTTAGTTGGTTTGTCCATAGCAGGATCTAATCCAGGATAACGGATTGCATTTGGGGGTTGTGTCATTTAAATCTTTTCAGTTTAGAAGAGTTTTTTTGTTTCATGACACTGACTTGACAGAAAGAAAGGGTCATTTGTTCTGTAGAATATTTCATATTTTTGGATTTGTCTTGCATCCTTGTGGAGAGTCCCAATTAGATCACAGTAAATATTTTGGTAGCAGTATATACTAGCTGTACTCCATACTGCATTATGTCAGGGGACATATAATACCTGGTTTCCCATCATTTGCATTGCTCTGACTATTATGTTAATGCCTTCCTGACCATCCACTATGTTATTACGTTTGCTCCCTGCTGCCAGAAAATAATCTGTGTGCTGTTACTTTGGTACTACACAAATGTCTGATCCCTCCATATATTTACCTTACTGTTTTAATATCACTTGATAATTCTTGCCTAAATCAGTAATTTCACTAAAGTTTAGAAAGTGATAATTTATTAGTTCTATCACTCCTTCTATGTATATTATCTGGCATTCTTTTTAAAAATTAGAGCTTTTGTTTACAACTGAGGCTATTTAATCACCTTAAGATGTATTTCTACTGGGAAGCTCAGTCTTTCCCATAATTTACCAATTTTCAAAGTGAGGAACTGGTTTAATTAAATGTCTCAAACGTTGACAAGTCAGATAGTCTAGCTTTCTCTGTATAAGTATCGTTTAAGACACGTGATGTTCACAGATTAAATGTGGTTCAGTTGCCTACAATTACTCTGAAAATGTATTCGCATGACATGAGTAAGCTGTCAAGAAGCAACGAGCTGAAGACCAAAAGGACAACTCATTATGACAGGGAACAGGTGACTGAGCTGGCAAGGAATCTCAAGGCTTCAGATCTCCTTATTAGCCGTTTCTGGGTAAAGCATTCAAGGAATAGGCACCTAACCAGCGAAGCACTGACAAGAGAGAAGACACATACCATTTGCTTTGAGAGGTATTCATTCCAACGTGGCTAATCCAGGAAATTGTGGCCACTAATTTTTATTAGTAGAAATAGTCTTTTAAAAAGTCAGGGTAGTAAGAAAACTTTAAGGGGGATGTAATCTTTGCAGTGTGTTTGGTTTGAGCCTATTTTGGGAATGGTGATGGTGGAAGAAATGCTGTTCTTTATTGTATTTATAACCATGCTGAGCTTGCAAAGGGAAAACAGACTAAAGTCATTAGATGAATGCAACAAGGCAGTTAAATGTAAACATACGGGGAATCATTTACATGGAAGTCTTCAGCATTTTTTCTATCTCCTGGGGTTGATTTTTTTTTTTAAAAACCAACAACCAAAAAACCTAGCACTGAAGAATTAGAAACCATTTCCTGTTACCTTGGGTTGAAGTAAAAGTAAGTGCCCAATTATTTTGGTAAGACTGCTGGTGATAGTCACAGTCATAGGTTTTAACTATGTAGGTTCAAGTAGTGGAACTTCTAGCAGATGTTTTAGACTCATTTCACTTGGATGCTGTCATCCCTTCCTTTTGTTCAAGTCTCAGCTAAAGGGACATGAAATGTCTTTTATTTCTGTGCTCTGTATGGAGAAATTTACCATGATGGATTTGTTGATGTAAAAGATAGTCCTCCCCTTTCCTTCCCCTTTTGCTGGAGAGCCAGGTGTTATTCCCTGGAAAGCCACACAGAGCTCTGGACTGGGTGAGCTTTCAACAGCAAATGCCATTAGCTTGGGTCATATCCACCCTTACTAGGACCCGTGCCTCGGGACTTCTCCTGTTGGGTTAACCTTAAACCCAAGCCACGCTGTCATCTTTCGTCTCTGTTAATACTGTCACGTCCATTCTCTAGATCTGAAATGAGTTACTAGTCTTCCAGAAATGTGTGCAAAAGTAACATTCTGAAAATTTTCCAGGTTGAACTTTCTGGATGCACAAGTTTGTCCTTGTGTGGAAAGTTGCCAGTGTGTCAGAGTTGACAAAAAATAGTGTCTTGCAGAATAATAGTAAAGATAACGTAATTTCTCATTCTAGAAACGGTCAATGAATATTTACTGTGTATCATGAAGGAATAGCTCTCTTAAACCATTAAACATTGTATCTACTCTCTATTAATTGTCTTATTCAGAGATCATGACTCTTCAAAGCAATTAAGTCTATAACTAAAGATGGAATTATGTTTTTTCCCTGGTAGGTAGGGTCTTCAATTTAAACTTTATAGCATCCAAACAATAAGATAGCAAAGGATCCAAAATGCTTCTAAGTCTCAGCTTATTGCCAGTTTTATAGGCATTTGGAATGTTTGTTTGTTTCATACTTTAACATTTATTTATTTATAACAAAGAGCTTATTATAGTGCATAATTTCATAATAATTATCCATTGATATATGCAGCTCCTTGCTAAATTCAGTTCCAGGTGCATACTTTATCTTTTTTCATCCAAGGTTCAGAGTTGCCTTTGAGATAATTTATTGTTGGTTTAAAGACAAGAGAAAAAGAAAATGAGAGACACTGCATCTTTGTGGATCCTTTGGGTACAATAAACATTGTAATTAAATCAGCAATTCTGAGAACACTGAAGTTGTTTTAAGAACAATTTTTCTCCAGTGTATAGAAATATAACAATAAAAATGCCATCCACTGTAAGGCTTCTGAAATCAACTGGTTGTATCTTACAGCCAATGAAGTCTTCCACTGGAGATTTTAATGTGTTAGTTATGTCGACTTCAAAAGGAAATTTCTGTAGTGTGGAATGAAATATAATTTTAAGAATTTTAATTCTGTTTCGGTTCAGAACTAGAGGCAATGTAATTAGTATTCTCTGCATTGGCAAAAGTCTTTGAATTTAGATAGCCATGACTGTTAAAAATGAGAACGTTTAATTGTTTAATTGAGAGTTGGAGTTGCATAGAGTTTCTTGGGCAAAGGTTGTGATCCTGCTGCTTCATTAACAAAGGCAAAGTTTTAATATTTTCTAAACCTTGGGTAAAAAACCATATATTGTAAAGAAAAACATCATTTTATTATACTACATCGGTACAGAAAATTTGAGATCATTTGCGAGGTCCTAGATATGGGGAGGAATTAGTTATCAAATCTTTCAGACACTTCCAGGGATTGCAGAGCTCTTTATGTCTCCTATAAAGGTCTGCTCACCCTCATGCAGAGACAAGAAAATGCAGTGATGTCTGCCACAGAGGCAAACTCGCTGTCCCAGATGCCTTGCTTATGACTCTCCCAAAAGACTCACTCTGTTCCTGACTTTCCCCATTTCCTAGGACCTGGGCCACAAGAGGATATTTATTCTCTCCTTCTCCTACCTTTAGTCTGATCCTAGGAGAAGATGCTCAGTGTCCCTTATGTAGAAACAGATGGTGCTGCGCCCTAGATCTGCTGGAGCACAGCTCAGAGCCTCCACCTGGAGAAGACTTTATGGCCTCAGGACATGAGCCCAGCTCAAGGTGAAACATGCCTGAGAATCACAGAATTCCAGGCCTGGGAGGTTCTTTTAAGTTTAGGAATTTACCACCTTGCCCTCCCCACATTACTTTCCAGGTGTGTTTGTGCAGTCCACTTGAGTTCACAGAGCTCTGTTACATTTTTGAAACCACTGTGAGAAAATCTCTGAATCTCTCTTTAGTGTCCCCCCATTGCTCCTAACTGGAGAATTAGATGATTCTGAATGTGTTTTTTGGCTCTGATATTTGGTGTTCCCATAATGCTGATGCCTTAGTCTCCTTCATGCCAGATTGGGTCAGTAAGATCCCATGGTGTTAATGAAACTGAGCAGGACCCTGTGGGGCTCCTGGGATGGGGCTTTTCCGTGTCCCCTGTTTCTTGTAGGGAACAAACTCCAGCCTCCATGACCTTCCCTGAGTTTCAAAGTGCAGATTCGAACAGTTGTTAATCCGGGAAGGGAAGGGATACAGAGTCAAGGGAGGAATAGCCAAGAAACAATAGTGCAGCCTTGGGGCAGCTCCTAGCTCTGCCTCAAAGGTTACACAATACAATGTCTTTAAGCCCTTTATAAAATTAAAAGCAGCAAATAGAAGATGTCAGCATTCTTCATACCAGAGAAGACCACCTGAGGCCAGGTTAAAGGAACCAGAGAAACTCATCAAGAAGATTACCTGAGATGAGATTAAAGGCCCTGCCCACACCCTAACCTTATCAGCAACCCCACCCTTGAACCACTGCCATAAAACTCTTCATCAAACCCTCCTGGGTTGGGACACATAGTTTTCGAGAGCAGGAGCCTGCTGTGGCCCCCTTTGCCTGGCAAAGCAATAAACCTATTCTTTTCTACTTCACCCAAAACTCTGTCTCTGAGATTTGATTTTGGCATCATTGAGACATAGTCATTTATTCAACAGACATTTATAGAATGCCTAGTAGGTACCAGACACTGTTTTAGGTGCCAGAGAGACAGAAGTAAACAGAAAAAAAAAAACCCCCAAAACCCTGCTCTCAAAGAACTCATGTTGTTCTTGGAGAGGAGAAGACATCTGAAAGGCAAAAAAAAAAAAAAAAAAAAAAAAAAAAAAAAAAATTTTAAAGTTGGTCTGTTAGATGGTAATAAGTGCTATGGAAAAAAAAAATTAAAGTTCAGTAGGCAGGTTGCAACTTAAAATCGAGTGGTCAGTAAAGCCTTGCTGAGACCGTCATTTTGAATAATGACCTGAAGGAGGTGGAAGTGACCTGAGCTCAACAGACATTTCTGGAAAAAGCATGCCAAGTAGACGGTGCAGCAAGTGCAAAAGCCCCCAAGCCGCGATTTGAAGAATGGCAAGGAGGTGGGAAATAGCAACGGGACTGGTGTGGTCTTATACAGGCAACTATAATTATAACCTTGGCTTTCATCCATATTGAGCTTGGATATTTTTGAACAGAGAAGTGATGCACTCGCACTTACCATTTCAAGGAGGATTCTGGCTGCTGTGTCACATGTAGACCAGCAGGGGCCATGGGCAGAAGCAGGGAGTGCAGTTAAGAGAAAGCTTCCAGGAGGAGCTTCAAGATGGCGGAGGGGTAAGACGCGGAGATCACCTTTCTCCGCATAGATACATCAGGAATACATCTACACGTGGAACTCCTCGTATAGAACACCCACTGAATGCTGGCAGAAGACCTCAGACCTCCCAAAAGGCAAGAAACTCCCACGTACCTGGGTAGGGAAAAAGAAAAAAGAATAAACAGAGACAAAAGGATAGGGACGGGACCTGCACCAGTGGGAGTGAGCTGTGAAGGAGGAATGGTTTCCACACACTAGGAAAACCCTTCACTGGCGGAGACTGCGGGTGGCAGAGGGGGGAGGGGAGCTTGGGAGCAAAGGAGGAGAGCGCAGCCACGGGGGTGCGGAGGGCGAAGCGGAGATTCCCGCACAGAGGATTGCTGCCGACCAGCACTCACCAGCCCGAGAGGCTTGTCTGCTCACCGCGGGGCGGGTGGGGGCTGGGAGCTGAAGCTCTGGCTTCGGAGGTCGGATAGCAGGGAGACGACTGGGGTTGGCAGCGTGAACACAGCCTGAAGGGGTTAGTGCGTCACAGCTAGCCGGGAGGGAGTCTGGGAAAAAGCCTGGAACTGCCGAAGAGGAAAGAGACTTTTTCGTCCCTCTTTGTTTCCTCGTGCGCGAGAAGAAGGGATTAAGAGCGCTGCTTTTTAAAGGAGCTCCAGAGACTGGCGCGAGCCGCGGCTATCAGCGCGGACCCCAGAGACGGGCATGAGACGCTAAGGCTGCTGCTGCCGCCACCAAGAAGCCTGTGAGCAAACACGGGTCACTCTCCACATCACCCCTCCCGGGAGCCTGTGCAGCCCGCCATTGCCAGGCTCCTGTCATCCAGTGACAACTTCCCCGGGAACACACACGGCGCTCCTCAGGCTGGTGCAACGTCACGCAGGCCTCTGCCGCCGCAGGCTCGCCCCGCCCTCCCCCGCCCCCGGCCTGAGTAAGCCAGAGGCCCCGAATTAGCTGCTCCTTTAACCCCATCCTGTCTGAGCGAAGAACAGACGCCCTCACGCGACCTACACGCAGAGGCGGGGCCCAATCCAAAGCTGAGCCCTGGGAGCGGTGAGAACAAAGAGGAGAAAGGGAAATCTCTCCCAGCAGCCTCAGGAGCAGCAGATTAAAGCTCCACAATCAACTTGATATACCCTGCATCTGTGGAATACCTGAATAGACAACGAATCACCCCAAATTGAGGAGGTGGAGTTTGGGAGCAAAGATATATTATTTTTTCCCCTTTTTTTCTTTTTGTGAGTGTGTATGTGTATGCTTCTGTGTGCAATTTTGTCTGTATAGTTTTGCTTTCACCATTTATCCTAGGGTTCTGTCCATCCATTTTTGTTATTAGTTTTTACTTTAAAAAATTTTTTTCTAAATGATTATTTTTTATTTTAATAACTTTATTTTACTTTATTTTATTTTATCCTCCTTTCTTTCTTCCTTCCTTCCCTCCTTCCTTCCTCCCTCCCCCACCTTCTTTCTTATTTTTTCTCCCATTTATTCTGAGCCTTGTGGATGAAAGGCTCTTGGTACTGCAGCCAGGAGTAACTGCTGTGTCTCTGAGGTGGGAGAGCCAACTTCAGGACACTGGTCCACAAGACATCTCCCAGCACCATGTAATATCAAATGGCGAAAATCTCCCAGAGATCTCCATCTCAATGCCAAGACCCAGCTTCACTCAACGACCAGCAAGCTACAGTACTGGACACCCTATACCAAACAACTAGCAGTACAGGAACACAGCACCATCCATTAGCAGAGAGGCTGCTTAAAATCATAATAAGTCCACAGACACCCCAAAACACACCACCAGACATGGACCTGCCCACCAGAAAGATACAATCCAGCCTCATCCACCAGAACACAGGCACTAGTCCCCTCCACCAGGAAGCCTACACAACCCACTGAACCAACCTTAGCCACTGGGGACAGACACCAAAAACAACGGGAGCTACGAACCTGCAGCCTGCAAAAAGGAGACCCCAAACACAGTAAGTTAAGCAAAATGAGAAGACAGAAAATCACACAGCAGATGAAGGAGCAAGGTAAAAACCCAACAGACCTAATAAATGAAGAGGAAATAGGGAGTTTACCTGAAAAAGAATTCAAAATAATGATAGTAAAGATGATCCAAAATCTTGGAAATAAAATAGAGAAAATACAAGAAACGTTTAACAAGGACCTAGAAGAACTAACGAGCAAACAAACAATGATGAACACCACAATAAATAAATTTAAAAATTCTCTAGAAGGGATCAATAGCAGAATAACTGATGCAGAAGAACGGACAAGTGACCTGGAAGATAAAATAGTGGAAATAACTACTGCAGAGCAGAATAAAGAAAAAAGAATGAAAACAACTGAGGACTGAGAATGAAAACAACTGACAGTCCCAGAGACCTCTGAGACAACATTAAATGCATCAACATTCGAATTATAGGGGTCTCAGAAGAAAAAGAGAAAAAGAAAGGGACTGAGAAAATATTTGAAGAGATTATAGTTGAAAATTTCCCTAATATGGGAAAGGAAATAGTTAATCAAGTCCAGGAAGTAGAGAGTCCCATACACAATAAATCCAAGGAGAAATACGCCAAGACACATATTATTCAAACTATCAAAAATTAAATACAAAGAAAACATATTAAAAGCAGCAAGGGAAAACCAACAAATAACACACAAGGGAATCCCCATAAGGTTAACAGCTGATCTTTCAGCAGAAACTGTGCAAGCCAGAAGGGACTGGCAGGAGGTATTTAAAGTGATGAAGGAGAAAAACCTACAACCAAGATTACTCTACCCAAGCAAGGATCTCATTCAGATTTGATGGAGAAATTAAAACCTTTACAGACAAGCAAAAGATGAGAGAGTTCAGCACCACCAAACCAGCGTTACAACAAATGCTAAAGGAACTTCTCTAGGCAGGAAACACAAGAGAAGGAAAAGACCTACAATAACAAACCCAAAACAATTAAGAAAATGGGAATAGGAACATACATATCAATAATTAACTTAAATGTAAATGGATTAAATGCTCCTACCAAAAGACACAGACTGGCTGAATGGATACAAAAACAAGACCCGTATATATGCTGTCTACAAGAGACCCACTTCAGACCTAGGGACACATACAGACTGAAACTGAGGGGATGGAAACAGATATTCCACACAAATGGAAATCAAAAGAAAGCTGGAGTAGCAATTCTCATATCAGACAAGATAGACTTTAAAATAAAAACTATTACAAGTCTTCAAACAAACAAAAGCCCAGGACCAGATGGCTTCACAGGCGAATTCTATCAAACATTTAGAGAAGAGCTAACACCTATCCTTCTCAAACTCTTCCAAAATATAGCAGAGGGAGGAACACTCCCAAATTCATTCTACAAAGCCACCATCACCCTGATACCAAAACCAGACAAAGATGTCATAAAGAAAGAAAACTACAGGCCAATATCACTGATGAACATAGATGCAAAAATTCTCAACAAAATACTAGCAAACAGAATCCAACAGCACATTAAAAGGATCATACACCATGAACAAGTGGGATTTTATTCCAGAAATGCAAGGATTCTTCAATATACGCAAATCAACCAATGTGACACACCATATTAAGAAATTGAAGGAGAAAAACCATATGATCATCTCAATAGATGCAGGGAAAGCTTTCGACGAAATTCAACACCCATTTATGATAAAAACCCTGCAGAAAGTAGGCATAGAGGGAACTTTCCTCAACATAATAAGGGCCGTATATGACAAACCCACAGCCAACATCATCCTCAATGGTGAAAAACTGAAACCGTTTCCACTAATTTGGGAACAAGAAAAGGTTGCCCACTCTCACCACTATTATTCAACACAGTTTTGGAAGTTTTAGCCACAGCAATCAGAGAAGAAAAGGAAATAAAAGGAATCCAAATCAGAAAAGAAGAAGTAAAGCTGTCACTGTTTGCAGATGACATGACACTATACATAGAGAATCCTAAAGATGCTACCAGAAAACTACTAGAGCTAATCAATGAATTTGGTAAAGTAGCAGGATACAAAATTAATGCACAGAAATCTCTGGCATTCCTATACACTAATGATGAAAAATCTGAAAGTGAAATTAAGAAAACACTTCCATTTACCATTGCAACAGAAAGAATAAAATATCTAGGAATAAACCTACGTAAGGAGACAAAAGACCTGTATGCAGAAAATTATAAGACACTGATGAAAGAAATTAAAGATGATACAAATAGATGGAGAGATATACCATGTTCTTGGAGTGGAAGAATCAACATTGTGAAAATGACTCTACTACCCAAAGCAATCTACAGATTCAATGCAATCCCTATCAAACTACCACTGGCATTTTTCACAGAACTAGAACAAAAAATTTCACAGTTTGTATGGAAACACAGAGGACCCCGAATAGCCAAAGCAATCTTGAGAATGAAAAACAGAGCTGGAGGAATCAGGCTCCCTGATTTCAGACTATACTACAAAGCTACAGTAATCAAGACAGTATGGTACTGGCACAAAAACAGAAATATAGATCAATGGAACAGGATAGAAAGCCCAGAGATACACCCACGCACATATGGTCATCTTATCTTTGATAAAGGAGGCAGGAATGTACAGTGGAGAAAGGACAGGCTCTTCAATAAGTGGTGCTGGGAAAACTGGACAGGTACATGTAAAAGTATGAGATTAGATCACTCCCTAAGACCATACACAAAAATAAACTCAAAATGGATTAAAGACCTAAATGTAAGACCAGAAACTATCAAACTCTTAGAGGAAAACATAGGCAGAACACTCTGTGAATAAATCACAGCAAGATCCTTTTTGACCCACCTCCTAGAGAAATGGAAATAAAAACAAAAATAAACAAATGGGACCTAATGAAACTTAAAAGCTTTTGCACAGCAAAGGAAACCATAAACAAGACCAAAAGACAACCCTCATAATGGGAGAAAATATTTGCAAATGAAGCAACTGACAAAGGATTAATCTCCAGAATTTACAAGCAGCTCATGCAGCTCAGTAACAAAAAAACAAACAACCCAATCCAAAAAGGGGCAGA